AATAATAATAATAATTTAATTATGATAATTATGATGATGATTATGATAAGGATAATAATGGTAATAATGATGTTGAAGCCGATAATAATAGAAATAAAAAAAGGTTACTGATAATAATGATAATAATAATGACTATGATAATAATGATAATTACGATAATTAAGATAAAAACGGTGAAATAAATGACAGTTATAGTCATAACGTTAATAATAATGTTAATAATGATGATTACGATAATAATCATGATAATGATGATGGTGATTATCAAAAAGATAATAATTATCAGGAAGATAATAATGATAATAAAGATGATAATTGAATTACGATAATGATTATGATTATAATTGTAATGATAATGATAATGATGTCAATAATGATGATAATAGTAATAATAATAAAGATAATATAAATAATGATTATAATGATGATTGTTCGAGGCGTATGCGTTAGCACACACTAGGCTCGGATAGGGTGACTGGGAAGACACAATAAAACACAATACAATTAAACAGCATGAAAATAACAACTTTTAATGTCACTTGCAGGCCAAGAAATCATAGTTAATATTCACAAAAATTGTAAAGGTCAAAATCATACAGGAGAAAATAAATACTGTCTATAGTCTTGAAGCAACGAACTATTAAAATATATAAAGGCGAAGAATTTAGAAAGAAAAGAGTCAAGTTAAATACCACAATATGTAAACACGCACTGGCCTTGAGCTCGCAAGAGAGTTTGAAAGTTACACGAAATAAATGTGAAAATGAAAGCACTGATATAGTATAACTGATTGAAATATTGATTAATTGAAAACTTTTGTCTGTGGGAATACACAAGAGTTTCACTGAGTCTTGCTGTTAATAATCACTGATAGTTCGATGAGATTAACTATTTAAGCTGGTCTGCAGATTATGCAGTGAGCAACTTAAACAAAGCACTAAGTGCACTGCACTGCACAACTGAGTTTTGTCCACTGTATTGCGAGAGCTAATCAGAAGAGTTACACTAGTATTTAAGGTGATGCATGCACCTTTGAATGCTAGAGTTTGGCAACGTAAATTAAGAGAGTCTTTCTTTGATGAGAGCTGAGTATAATCTGGCACTTACAGTATACAAAGCTTGCCGCGTGAATACTTACACACACACCTGCAGCGCGCCAAGTCGACCAAGCGCACACGCACAGAGCGTTGAGCTGACAGAGACTACAAGTGTACACAATGTACACAAAAGCCGGGCCTACTGCTGGTCGCTCTCATTTTCAACATTCCGCCCGCCGTCAGTCAACGGCTGACAACAGCCGTAGTCCGGCAGTGGCACCAATTGTGAATTGGTCTCCTGAGCGCGCATACTGAGGTCTAGAGCGTCACCACTCTAACCAGGCCATCCTTGCCTGGGTGGACGTCGACAACTTTGGCCAGTGGCCACTTTCCTGGTGGTAGAGTCTCACTAGTTATAAGCACCAATGAGCCTGTCTTGATGTCATGAGCTGGAGTATGCCACTTGGAGATTAAGTTTAATCTACGCAAGTACTGTGTAGACTACTGCTTCCAAAACCTTTGTTCTTGAGCTTGGATTAGCTGCCAGTGAGTGAGCCTTGCTGGAGGTAAATCCAACAAGCACGGTTCTGGTCATGAGTTTAGCGCCGATCCGACTAAGAAGTGTTCTGGAGTGAGCGTGTCTAAGTCCTCTGGATCATTAGTAAGTAATTCTTGTGGTCTAGAGTTAAGTATTGCTTTGATTTGAGTGAGCAACGTCGTGATATCTTCAAGCGTGTAAAGAGTTTCTTCCATAGTTTGATGGAGATGGTGTTTTATCGACTTCACTACTGCCTCCCATTTTCCTCCCATGTGAGGAGCAGCTGGAGGGTTGAAGTGCCATGACGTTCCATCTTTGGCCAGCATGGCTGACAGATGAGAATTTTGACTGATTGCTTTTGAGTATAACTGTTGAAGAGCCATGTCTGCACCAACGAAGTTCGTCCCACAATCAGAATACAACTCAAATGGACGTCCCCAACGTGAGACAAATCGCCAATACTCTGACAAGAATCCTTCGGTAGAGTAATCTGTCACTGCTTCAAGATGCACAGCAGAGGTCGAAAAACACACGAACATACACATTCAACCCTTGTATGTCTGCGACCCTCTACCGCGCCAAGATTTGAGATGTATCGGACCTGCGTAGTCGATACCTGTGTGAGCAAACGGTCTGGAGGGAGTCAACCTGGCCTCGGGTAACTGTCCCATGACTTGTTGTCCTTTTTGTGCCCAGTACCTGTCACATTTGACACAGTAGAGGATTCTGGATCGGATGTGGGCCCTTCTGCCGACTATCCTAAACTCTTGACGAGGTTTGCTAAGAGTGAGCTGAGTTCCTCCGTGTAGAGTTTGCCGATGAGCCTGATCGATAACCAAACTGGTGAATTGAGCTTGACGAGGAAGTAGGGCAGGATGTTTTGCATCAGGTCTGAGCTTGGCATTCATGAGTCTGCCTCCCACACGCAGTATGCCAGCATCATTAGTATATGCCATCAACCGGTGGAAAACATGGCCCTTTGGGAGAGAACCTGATTTGAGCATCTTGATTTTCTCCTTGAAACATTCCTGTTGAGTTAATCTGATGAGTAAGAGCTTAGCTTGAGTGATGAGTTCTGCAGTGACAGCTACGGATGATTCCTGGTGTGTGAGTAAGGCTTTGAACTTGGCACAAGCAAGTAAGAGGGTGGCTGTGATAAGATAGAGTTTGTGCAATGTGGAGCTGGACTGAGTGAGCCTGAGTAGGAACTACGAGTCCGAGACTGATGACACCAATATGCATCAGCAAAGCCATGGAGTTTCACTGCAGAAGAAGGATGTGCTCCAAGCCATCTAGGAACTGTCACTCCAGAGAGTTTGGCTAGATCACCATGTATTTGTAGCCACCTCTGAGCAAGAGCATCTGGTATGGGTGTATCCCATGTAATTTTGAGTAGCCACAATTCCTGAATGATGAGTTTGGCTGCAACAATCACTGGAGCAACTATTCTAAGAGTATCAAAGATTTGAGATATTTCTGAAAGAATTATTCTCGTCGTTAGAGTTTGACTGAGAGGCTTGAGTGTGCACTAAAAGGTGAGATTGTTTAAAAGTGGTTTCCAAACCATTCCAAGTACTTTAGCATCACAGTCATCGAGGAGTGCTGATTCTTCACTGAAGTTTGAGTAACTGAATCCTGGCGAGTTTGAGTGCCACTTAGCCAGGGGCAATCCGCCTGCCATGCACAGCTCCTTGAGTTGGAGGGCCTGCTCGTTCAACTCATCTGGAGTCTCCGCTCCACCAAATATGTCGTCCACATATCTGCCGCTGGTGAGAATCCGGGCCGCCTGGGGGTAACGGTGCCCTTCATCTTTCACCAGCTGCAGCAGTGAGCGTGTGGCCAGAAATGGAGCAGGCCTCGTCCCGTAAGTCACTGTGGTGAGCTGGAAGTGAGCTTCCTCGTGAGTTTTGCTATGCCAGATGATTCGCTGAAGATCCCAATCGTCTGGATGAATCTTGATCTGACGATACATCTTGGAGATGTCCGCAGAGAAAGTCCATTTGAATGTGCGTAACCAGAAGAGTATATCTGTTATTTTGGGCAGTAGATTAGGTCCCGTGTGAGTTATGCTGTTGAGTGAATGTCCAGAGGAAGTAAGGGCTGATCCATTAAAAACCACTCTGATTTTGGCGTTGTCTCCATCTTCCTTCAATACGCCGTGATGCGTGATGAGGCAAATAAAAATGAGGCTTGATGTTGAGCTTATCTGCATGCACCGGTCGCATATGGCCAAGACTCGAATATTTATTCATGAAATCTGTATAGAGCTTGTCGTATTTGTCGTCTGTTCCGAGCCTGGCCACCGTGTGATCGAAGCATTTACGAGCACGGTTGACTGAGTTGCCCAGCAGAGATGAAGATTGTTTCAGAGGAAGTTTTACCACGTATCTTCCGGTGCTATCTCGAGAGTAAGTTCGCACGAAGTGTTCCTCACACTCCTGTTTCTCTGGTGTAAGCTGCAAGCTTGATTTTAAAGGGATCTCTTCTTGAATCCAGAAGTTGATGAGTCATTTCTGGAATTTATCTTCTATTTCAAGTGCTTTACTGACTACGTTGCCTCCAATACCCAGGAGACAGATGTTGGACTTCGTGCGTGTCAGCTGCAGACGCTTCACAGCATCTTCTGAAATATATGATAATTCTGAACCTTGATCGATCAGAAGCCTGAGATGATTATGTGCAGCTGTAGCACGTACCTAGGCTACTGCTGTTGGCAACAAGATAAACAAGTAACTAGATGTTTGGTTGGACGATGTGATCCTTGTTGAGTTTGACTTGATGTTGACTCTGGGATGAGTATTACTAGATGTGGAGTTTCGACGATGAGTTTGTCTGATGACTGCGCTGATTTCCTATTCTTCATGTTAAGTCGGCTAAGACGCCAACCTGCTGATCGGTTGCAACAACCGAGCACTGTGAATCATGGTATAGTGAGCCCTACCAAAGGTTTGGCACCTCTTCGTGTTCATACACTTAACAGCAGCTTGGCGGCCAAAACAATTGAAGCACAAAGGCTTGTTATCCACGAACCGGTATCGTTGGTCAATGGAGAGGGCCGCGAATGCCGGACAGCGAGCAATAAAGTGTTGCTGGTTGCAGTACGTGCACGGGAACACTGAAGGAGCCGGTCTATCATCCTGCGACTGAGCCGAACTCCCAACCCGAATCTACTGAGCGTTGCTGCCTGGTTAAGTGTTGCCGAGCGGATGAGTTTGACCTGTATGAGCATGCTGAGCTCTGCTCAGTTTGGATTCAGTCTTACAAGATGTGGATTAGTTATCTTGTCTCTTGGTTGACTGAGAATCAACCATCTCCAAGGCTTAGGTCCGCTCGATCAAAAACTTCTCCAAGGCTTCGCCCGCTGGGAAGTCGGCTCTTGCAAGTGTCGATGTTTCCAACGCCTCTTTGGTGGGTCGATCCAACGCTCATAGCAGCTCATCCACGAACAAGGCATTCAGCACCTCTTGAGTAGAGCCAAGGCCAGAAATAAGCCTGCGGAGCTTTCGACTCTCCATTGCCAAATCCATCAGCGACCCAACGCTGCCAACACGCATCGGTGGAATGCGTCTCTTGGCCTGCAGCAGCTGTGCGAGCACAAGTCGCTTCTTTCCATATCTCTCGAGCAGAGCATCCCAAGCAATCTTGAAGAATTCAGCAGTGAGAGGGAGTTCCTTGATGAGCTCTGCTAGCTGGCCCAAGAGCGACGCCCGCAGGTATTAAAGGCGCTCCAAATCGGTGAGCCTCTCGTCTTCCATTATACTTGAGGAAAGATCTCGGAAACTCACCCATTCTGTGTAGTTGCCAGAGAATTGCGGAAGCTTAATCTCCGGGAGCTTGCCTCGTTGAGTGTGACTGACAGTAGTTGCTGACGCTTATGAGTTTGCCAGTGGATCTGGATGGGCAGCGAGCAGCCGGGTTATGAATCTCATTGACCTCAAGTATGCCTGCTGCGCAGCTCCAGACGAACTCTGACTGAAATACTCATTTCTGAGCAACACCGCTGGGCACGCATTTTCAATGAGAGCATGCTCACGCTTGAACTCCTCATGGAGCGCGACGCAGTCCTCTCTGAGCTGCATGGCCTCAGCGTGACTGCAATCCGCAGTCACCTCCTCAGCAGCTTTGCCACACTGGCTCAGACCAATTATGCGCGCTCTCTGTAACTCGATTTTCGCAAGGAACCCGGCCGGAATAACATTTTCCGTCGAGCGCGTACCACGCCCCGGCAAGCCGTCAGTCACAGAAACCTGCTGGCCATCGATGATGGTAGTTGCAGCGACATCGTCACTCGCAGCCGTGGCTGCTGCATCGGCCCTTTAAGCAGCCTCTTCCATTGCGCACTGCAACCGGATCACTTCCCAATCACCCCGATCCGGCTCGTAAGACAAAAATTTTCGAGGCGTATGCGTTAGCACACACTAGGCTCGGAAAGGGTGATTAGAAAGACACAATGAAACACAATACAAATAAACAGCATGAAAATAACAACTTTTAATGTCACTTGAAGGCCAAGAAATCACAGTTAATATTCACAAAAATTGTAAAGGTCAAAATCATACAGGAGAAAATAAATACTGTCTATAGTCTTGAAGCAACGAACTATTAAAATATATAAAGGCGAAGAATTTAGAAAGAAAAGAGTCAAGTTAAATACCACAATATGTAAACACGCACTGGCCTTGAGCTCGGAAGAGAGTTTGAAAGTTACACGAAATAAATGTGAAAATGAAAGCACTGATATAGTATAACTGATTGAAATATTAATTAATTAAAAACTTTTGTCTGTGGAAATACACAAGAGTTTCACTGAGTCTTGCTGTTAATAATCACTGATAGTTCGATGAGATTAACTATTTAAGCTGGTCTGCAGATTATGCAGTGAGCAACTTAAACAAAGCACTAAGTGCACTGCACTGCACAACTGAGTTTTGTCCACTGTATTGCGAGAGCTAATCAGAAGAGTTACACTAGTATTTAAGGTAATGCATGCACCTTTGAATGCTAGAGTTTGGCAACGTAAATTAAGAGAGTCTTTCTTTGATGAGAGCTGAGTATAATCTGGCACTTACAGTATACAAAGCTTGCCGCGTGAATACTTACACACACACCTGCAGCGCGCCAAGTCGACCAAGCGCACACGCACAGAGCGTTGAGCTGACAGAGACTACAAGTGTACACAATGTACACAAAAGCCGGGCCTACTGTCGGTCGCTCTCATTTCCAACA